TAATCATGAACTCTTTTTCTATGTCGGACCTTCCCGTTTCTCCACTTCTGCTCCCTCTCCGCCCTTCCCGTAAAACCTTCTTACCGTTGTTTTCTATATAGTCGCATGCATTCATGATGTTACAAGAGAGGAAGAATGATGGGAAAAGTATAGAACAGCTGCTATAGTCGTAAACCTTCACATTAATAAGGGTAAAATGTACGCTTGTTGACGCTTCTTGCAATGTACGTATGCTGTAGTCCTCGTGGCTAATAGTAGTTTATCAGACTATTTCTTACAAGAAAGGATCCCAGCAGCGAACCAAAATGATTCTTATATCATAAAATGCGTCTTGATGTGCTGACTCCAAATCTAATTTCCATATCTGCTGAGCTTTTTCCTAGAAAAAAAAAACTGTGAGCGGACGCCCAAATTTGGCAAACATTCGGTGTCATGTCTTCAAGTTTTACTTGTTCACAAACATTTATACTCGGTGTATGTATTATAGGCATTCCTTGTTAATGCATTCAAAAACATGCCAATTAATCACATCCAAGCTGGTTTTCAAAGCACATTACGCATCAAAACCTAAAAACATTGGCACCTTTAATCGCCCATTGCTTCTTCTAGAGAAGCGCATAGCAGATAAGGAAGGTAGATTTAAAATTAGCTCACCAAGGCGCATCTAATTTTATGCATTTCATTTCGGTTTGTCACTGCGACCTGGTATCCTTCCCTAGTTAGATCCTGGGAAACTCGTGAGGTTCATACTTCATTGGTATCTCCAAGTATTGACGGCAGATCTTTGCTTGCTCCGAAGAGAAGAAGAGCGGAATTTTTATTGTATGGTATCTCTCGTTAGTTCTTTGATTTCGAAGCCTATGCTGTGGATTGTAGAGGAACCTTGATTGTAAATGCTGTGTAATTCACATTTCGGCAAAGAATTGCATAGTAGCTCAGCTTTCTTCCCCCCCCCCCCTCGCTTCTTAGAAAAAGTCACAGAAAGTTGCTGTTTTGCGGGTATGTCCCTTTTGGGATCAGCGCTTTTTATTCTGTACGATCTGCAGTCAAGAGGGATAGACTTCAGAATCTGCATATTTGATGCTTCGCACCGTTCATGTTGTTTCGACCATGAAGCATTTATCATATGCGGATACCGTTCAGGACCGAGAATTTCAACTCTTAAAGTTTCGAACGCTCTCTCTAATTCACATAACAAATCTAGGTGCTCAGGATTGCTCATTGCCTTCGAAGATGAATTGTAGCGATCCACTTCAAGACAGAAAATAAAGCAGTCGGATTGTTTTGCCAATCTTTCACGAGTCGTTCAATTCCTCCTTCTGGTCTTCACCACGGATCATGCACTGAGGCGTTGTGACATGTCCTTACGTTGTCCTCAAGGTATTATCCCTTTATCAGAGGCATCAGCAACGCAGACTAGCGATCTTGGTTCTAGAATTTTGCACGAAAATTCTGGGTCACGTCTCCGGTGTCCCTATGGGATGGGTATACGATGAAGAGAAGTAAGAGAGTCGTAAAAGTTAAGTGGCAGTAGCTTGTCCCCATAATTTGTACATAGCCGAATGTCCGTTGCTAATTGCTGGGTTACTCGGCAACCCTTTCCCCCTCTCCCTTTTTTTCGTCCTTGCTCTTAGAATGAGCTACGGCAATCTTGTGGCTGGCTTACACCGAAGATTGTTATTATCGGGAGCCAAGTGTTGCCAGCAAGGCATAGCCGTGCGCGGCTGTTCGTTCGCCCTGAGAGGATATATAATTTCATTATGTCCTCGGCTCGTCTTCTCTTCTTTACTGCACTTCTCTTTGTGAGCACCTAGTGTCTAGAGAAAACCTGCTAATGCATCGGACCGACTATCACCATTGTCGTAGCCGGCTCTGTCATTCCATTCATGAGTCGCTTTATGTAGGAAGAAGAGGTGAGTGTTGTGGTCAAATATTTTCAAAAGTTCTTATTTTTCGGGCATCATTTAGCTAGAAATGGTGAAGAGTTAGTCCTAGGATGTTTGTCAGCATTTTTCAAAGAGTGCAGTACATGCATTTATTTTTGACGAAATATGCGAAAGTTTGTGGTATTCCAAATTTAGAATACCCTTTTGAAGACCTGACGGGCCCACTCAGAATGGGTACGGTACCAGGCAGCTCATAGAAATCTTTTACCTGGCGTTTTATGTGAGTACTCATTGAAAGACCACTGCCATCGCCCAAGTGACAGCTCATACCATTTATCTGCGACTGATAAATTCGTATCTGAACTCTTGCGCAGTACGTGCTCGAGGAAGCTGATCATTCCGTAGAGTACGGTAGTGGGCGAGAGTTTAGAGTTGGATTCGCCGTCATGAATAGATTCCAGTATCGCACGCGTCATTTCAAAATTTCATTGTTATTTAGTTGTCAAGCGCATCACATAAAGAGAAAACCCCGATATAGGCTTGCGATCTCGGTGTTCAAAAGGTGACAAACACATTTTTTCAAGCCGACCAATCAGCATTCTGATGTGGTAGGTGATAGGTCTGGACTGGATTTTACACTTGATTTCTCGGCCGTGAACGTTTTGTATGAGCTGCCGCTTGGCCATCGGCTTAGCTAAAGCTTCCTAATTGGTTTTCACATATTAGAGCTAGGTTCCATCAATCAGAGCCGTCGGATATTGTCTTTGATACCGCTTGATTGCAAAATGGACTTCAACGAATACTGGGTGTGAGAAATGAGACATTAACCTCAATTTTCGTACTGTATGTTGAGTTTCACGGGGAAAGCAAATCCAGAATCTCTTCCAGAGACGAATGCAGGCTTGATTATGTTAGCTGCTTTCCACTCGTCAGTACTTCGATATAGTCATCACATGTTCGTTGAACTCTTTATACCCAGTGATCTCGAGCGAAAACAAGGCCTATCGCCTACACTTGTTTATCCACACTTCGTCCGCATGTTATAAGTGTTTACGCCGCACATCCTGAGAGCATTGTAGTAAGACTTGCGATATGGTTTGTTACGTGAAGTAGCAGCGCATCGTGGCGGTCGGTCATTGCGACGTCGGCGCTAAGAGTATGAGCGGCCATTATGTGAATTACGCGTAATGGTTGCGCCTTCGCTCCATCTTCTTGAGTCGTTCAGTTAATCCCATTGATTGCTTTGTTCTTTGTGTTTTTTCTGGGTCGCATAATATGCGGAGAATGATTGTTATGCGTTTAGTATGCGCATAGATTTTTTGGCTTTTTGTCCACCATTTCTCTATTAAACGGACATTTTGTGCCTATACTATAAATTTTCTCAGCCTACTTCTATAAGGTCGTGAAAAAATGACTTCCTTTTTTGGTTTCGATGCGAAAAATAGCTTAACAAGAGTATCTGTAACTATAGTACTGAGGGCTTGTGCTTTACAATACATTATGGGAGTAATGTGAGAGAAGCAGGGAAAAAAGGCATTTGGAAAATGACAAACTCCCCCCCCCCCCCTCTTCAACATCGAGAATGGGCGGTGTTTACTACTTTGTATCTGTCTTTTATCTTTACGTTCGCTGTTTGGGAAATCGGAAAAACAAGCAAATTGAAAATGGCAAACTCCAGCTCTAACAATAATACCAGGGGCGATGTTTGCTTTTTCACGTTGTTTATGCTTTTGTTCAATGTAAAGAAATAAGGCAACTGAAAATGGCAAACTCTCTTCCAAGAATAATGCTAGGGGAGGACTTTGCAATTTTTCAAGTACTTTTTTCTTTTTTAAAGCCATAAAGCAGATTGTGTACATTTGCTGTATATTCGTCCTGGGAATCAAAAAAGCAATTGAAAGGGGCAAACTCCGCTTATGCCCACAGTCTTGGGCGGGCTGCTTATTCAATCCTTTTCTCAATCTGCAGCTACAAATTAATTCAGTATGTCTTACATATGAATCTTTAGCCTACTGTGTACCTTCACCGAATGTAGATTTACATTTAATTTTTGGGAAATTTTTTTGGCTTTCTGGCATAGAAAATTGAGAAATTAGAAAAATGTTGTACTTGAGAAATGCAATGTTGCACTTGAGAAATGCCAAGACCAAGATTTCAGACAAGATGGAATCTGTCCACATAAAAAGATTAGAAGGCTGCATTCTTGTATAATGCTCAGTCAGCAGTGAACATGTTTCTTCGCTCATGTAGTAACATTCTTCCCATCATACTATTACCACTTAACCCAGTACGATCAGGTTCCGTTACAAGTATAATAACACGGACTGTTACCAGTCATTCGTACTGTGACTGCGCTGGACGCAAGGATTTTTGTGGTGTGGGGTGCCTATACACTTTGTCTTTTGAGTCTTTTATCTTGTTTCGTTTTGCTATTTTTGACAAATAAGTATTTTTTTATGGGTAGGTTGAGATTTGGGAATGTAAGCCCAAATTTTACACAACTTTATCATAACGATTTCAAAGATTTTGGAGGTGAATCTTCGCTTTTTTCCCTCTCATCACTCTATCAATAGAACCGGGAAGTAATAGCGCGCAAAGTCAGAGAAAAACATCTCTGGAATTTACGCGAAGCAATTGTGCGTCAGACTAATAGCAAAGCTTTTGAAGCAAGTACTTTGATTACGACGATAGTACGATACACATGATACCGTAGCACTGCATGGTAGTTCGAAGTTTTCGCTTTCCATTTTCTTTTCTTTCAGGGGATTTTTGGGAAGCACAAATGTGTGTGTACACTCAGTTTTTTTTTCTACAAGTGCTGAATATCATCGGTTTTCATTCGCGTAACACTTTCAAATCCGTTTTACTTTCGAGTTTTGTGTACTTGGTTCCTCTCTCTCATTCTAAAAAAGAGTTATTGCTGAAGGCGACCTATAAAGTCTTTGATTTGAAAATAGATCAATTCAAGTTGTCAGTATGCGCTTAAATCTCAAAATTTTGATATATTCAAGAAGAAAGGTGTTCTAATTGCTAAGGAATCTCAAATCTTCTATTCTTTTTCCACAGTAATCAAAGATTCTTTCACTATGACCGTCAAAAATCATCTATTTTCAGATTTCTGGACTAGCGAAGCCGCACTAGCAAGGCCGTTGTCGCGTGCCCCACAAATGAGCACGCAGTCGACGTCGTTCATGAAGTAGGTTACCGAATAGTTTACATTGAATTTGGGCTAGGTCTCTCCATTCTATTCTTCCCCCATATAATCGCAAAATTTACAGTCTCGACGAATGTCTACCCAAGGTCAAACCATCAATGCAACCCCCTCCATCTTACGGCGTGACTGTAGATGTGGTCGGTAAGACGGTAAGTTGAGGTGGTTTTTGTTTGTTTGAATGGTCCTGTATGAAATTGTTCAGCATTCGAAAAAACGACCGTCATCTCGAGGTGTGGATTTTGCGGGAGTTGTAGCGACCTGTGCAAATACAGAAGTTCTTGCTGAAATTAGCGATATGCAAAGTGATACGAGCAATTCACCACCGATGAAGCATGATCGAACGGACGGTAAGGGCACAGATTTTGTAAATTGAATTGTAATTTTTTGGTGGGCTTTCCAAATGGAGAATCTTCTCGCTAGTCTGCAATCTGCCCCCCACCCCCCACCCCCCTTCGCGCGAAATGTACTTTCATGTTAGCCTAAAAGATTTTTCCCAGTGGCTTACGAATTGTAGTAAGCATGTTTGACTGTCAAGTTAGTTTCGCAGTACAATGGATGTTTCCTTTGTGAACTGCTGCCTCACTGCCGTTTTTTTATGTCTTGGAGTATTTCCTCTTGATTCAAAAATAGACTACTAGTTTTTGAGTCCCTACACTGAGACAAGTCCAGTCACTTGGAAATTTGCTGAGCATACTTAACTCCTGCGAAGATGCTCGACATCGCTGTAGATACTTTGTTGAGCCCTGAGTGTGTCCCAAAACTTTGTCCTCAAATTTCCACAAAGGCGACAAAAACGCTCAAATCCCCTCCGCCACTGCAGAAATTGGGTCGCGAAGTCTCGAATTACATAATTTATGATTTATAGGTGCTTTATCGTTAGCTGTAGACAATCGCTTTTGGGTTCAAATAGAAGCTTTGAGAAGTTTTTGGGCGTTTTTGCCAACTTTGCTTTTCAAGTTTTTGAGCTATAAATTTTGAACGTCCAAGAAATGGAGCTTGGTTAATGACACCGCCTCAATCGGAGAAAGACAATCACTCCCCTTCCCCCTCCCCATCCCTCCGGAAAGAAGCTTCTCGAATTGCGAATGGTATTTTCCAAGATAACGCCTTCGACTTTTTCCTTTGGGAGCCTTGACAGACAATGAAGCAAGGGGGTGACAGCTTTTGCACATTGGAGGAATTCTTTTTTGTTGGACATTTTATGTCATCCTCGTCGGGCATGTAAATCATGGCGTTCTTGTTGAATGATTGATGCATTGCATGCATAGAAAGACAGGTGACAGCTGCGAAAAAAGGAAAGGCATTTGGGAATGGGTAAAAATGTGGGAGAAAACTCTGGAACTATGACAGGAAGTCATCACATGAAAAAAAAAAACTCTGCGCATTATCTACTCCTCCTTTTCTCCCTACATTTAATGTCCTTTTTTTAAGTGTTTTCATCTATTTCTTTTTTTTTTCAAGAGTAACTGGATAAACGATCTGGGTTTTCACTTCTGCGTATAGAGGCAAATGCTCTGAAGCTCTGAAATTCCCTTTCGATTTTTCTAGTCGAATCAAATCAGCAGCAAGTGTACACATTCTGCAAAGTGAAAAACTAGATTGGAGAATACTCGATAACTTACAAGTGTTAGAGGAACCGGAGTGTGACACTTGACCTCATTGTGGACTTTACTACCAAGTGTAACACTATTTTTGCAGCTTCGCCAGCCATTTCTGATCATATTTCGCGATCGGAACGACGAACTCAATCTGTTCGTACAAAAAGCGGTTGGTCTTTGTTTTACTTTTTAGTTTACTCTTTGAGTTCTGTTCTCGCTTGGTTGTAGACTTTTGCGCGAAATAGAATCTGCTGGAGTTTTTCTGCGGGGTTTACCTTGAAAACTGGGAATCTTTTCTCAAATGTTGCATAAAATCCGGATCGCTTAGACGCGGTGGTATTCATCGTCTACTCGTTTGGCGCTCGGCTAAGCTGCAGAGACTAGATTTGACCCAGTTCTTATTGTGATTCATGGGCGCATGTGGGTAGTAATAGTTCTTGCAAAAGTATTATTCTTCCCAGTCGGGGTGAATGTATCTAAATCGAGGGAAAAAGACGCTTTTTTGAACTTTTATACCACAAATTTTTTTGCGTACTCCAGAAGAATCCCTGCTTTAGAAAAACTATACGAATTTGTTTTTCAGTAAATCCTCCACCTGTCAGCGGCTCTTCATCGGCTGGACGCAAATCTTTCCTCAAAACACTATTCTTTGGCGGTTCAAACTCATCACAAAATCGTCGAACGCCGATCAACCAACTGGCACAGTGTCAATATTTTGTTCCACTCGAAAAGGAACAGATACGCGGGTAAATTTTAAGATTCATTATTTGTTGTACTTGTTTCTGCATTTTCTACGATTATCTTGCATTTTTTTAGCGGATCTCAAAAATATCATTGCAAACTTTACTATAAGCTAACGAGAAATTGGTTCATACTTGAGAAAGGACAAGGAAAGCTCTAAACCGTTAACAATATCTTATGAAATATCGCGGAATATACGTTGGGTAAATTTGTGCTGAAAATAAGAGGATGCCTAGTCCTGTTGAGAGAATCACTATAAGATATAAGTGGATTCATTGTAGTTTATCGCATTCATTTACTACTAGACTTCCATGGTTGATCCCACTGAGCAAATTCCTGTTTTTTCTTTTCATATATTGGTCAACTGGTGTACCAAAAATGCTTATCTTTCCAAATTTCTTACTTATTCTTCCAAGATTCTTGAAGAATTTTATTGTTCCTCAGCAGTCTCATTCTGGCTTCAATTGGTAGAGTAAGATCTGGGCCCAATAGATATTCACTTTACTAGTAGACGATACAAAGTGGTAATAATATGATTTACTAGACACAATACACGAAGGTACAGAGTAAACAGCAGAGGTTGGCGCAAGATGATCTGTAGGTGAGCGTGCCGCTCTGCAGCTGGGGGTTCCGAGATCTCTCCACTACAGTCTCATGTGTCTGTTTTATATCGGCTGGCAACCATTATCAGATCGTTCTCAGCTATGCTGATTGTAGAAATATGTCAACATCTGCATATGCCACCGTGGGATATCGTTCCCTTTTACACCTCCCCATTTTACCCAAAAGTCCTGAAGGGACTTTCTAAGAGTTTGCCGTGACAGTTTATTCATCTTTTTCCGGGACATTGGATTCGAGTGACCAATAACAAAGGTGGAGTCTCTTGCAAAGATAAGAGAAGAGCTGGCTGTCTTGTAATTCGGGTATAGTCATCTGGATTTGGGTCCACGACCCTTGGGGAGAATATTGGTTCATGAGGAAACGCTAGCTCTGAACCTGTCGACGAATATCAGTGCGCAATCGTTCCACAAACTCTACTAAGTTTGCACCTGCTGTACTACCTGCACTTGTTCCGCCGTAGCCTCACGCACTAAATTCACAAGTCTATTGGCGAAAGCTACTACCGATTTCCCTATTTCTTGATGGCATGCCAACAAAGTCTGTCGCGCCATATAACGCTGCTGCAGAGTGTTAAAGTGCTTAGCTAGGTGCGCGACTATTTCATCGTAGTCCTGGCGCTCGATGTGCGAAAGTTCCTCGACTTTTTCACTGCCATACCGTCTAAGTACGTTATAAGGATATTAGCTTTGTGTTCTGAGGACAACGTCCCTTGACGGGTCCGCATAATATCTTCAAAACGGCGGAGCCATGTGTTGAACTGCAACATGTCCCCACATCCCGTATATGCCGACAAGTAAATGTGGTGTCCCTCCGGGTTGCAGACCGCTGCTTGGGGCAAGGTTCTTATACGAGTGTCAATAGCTTCAACCTTGTCCGTAACCCCTTTGAGAAGCGCCGCACTATTGTTATTGAATAGCTGTACTAGCTGCGAGGTGTTGTAGTGCGTATCGTACCACATATTAACAACGACGTCGGTTGTTGCATCCCTAAGAGCTTTGGCATCTCGACCGTGCACCACATCTGAGTCCTCCACATTACCTAGTGTAGCTCTAAGAGTGGCCATCATTTTATCCGAAGTAGCTATATCTGTATCAGTGTCCTCTACGGGACCAGTAGTAGGTAAGCTCTGTGTTTGGGTAACTACGACCCCTGTATCAACCGAATGGGTAGAGAGCGAGTCACCGGAGGTGCCATTCGAGGAAAGAGCGCAAGAGAAGTACGATAGAAAACGAAGAATATGTGAAATGTGTCTTCTTCTAACACTGTCATTATATATAAGAGTCCGTTATCAGATAAGAAAAAAAATTATGTAAACATATCCCTAAAACCAATTTTCCCCGACCCTTATCTTCTGTCTATCTCATGAAAAAAAAAACATAATTTTTCCCTATGTTCATATCTCGCAAGTTTCCCAAGAGCTGTATCTGGGAATGCGATCACATCGCCAACATAAACATTTACCCGCGGCGCCTTATGCGCGAAACTTACATAACGAAGCATGACGTTACAGACGCTTTTAAGCGCAATAAATGAAAAGAGCTGTAGCATAGTCACAATGCACAAAATCTAGATAATTGCTCCAATACAAGAATGCTCAAAAACTCTATCGCCGGTGATTTTAAGCAACGCATTACATAACTCATTACTTCAACTTCAGGAAATCTTCATAGCTGCGGCTTACTCACTAGTGTTCTTTTCAAATTTCTCAACACTTGATCGATCACCATTACGGTTTGCCGCCCTGTCGGACCTACACCATGAGACAAGAATATGATAATTATAAATGGATTGAATATGCATGGTAGAGCCTTTATGTCATGTCTAAGGATGGCAAACGATAATGCTGGTGAGGGGGAGGGGGATATTGAGATGGAAGATAAGGTGAGGGGGGGGGTCGTATTCGGCACTTGTGTACCACAGCTCTTGTTTGACCCTGGGTAAAGGTCCCATGTATATAAACTTACGAGTTTTCCAAAAGCTGTTAGGGATTTCCATTTCTGGACAAGTATCCTCCGTTGTCAGTATCAGAATCTGGACTTGGGCAACTACGACCCCGGTATTGGTGAGTGCATATTAACTGCATGAACTCGCGAGCGAGCCATCGACGTGCCAAGATAACAACGTTCCCAGAGAAAGAATGGAAGGCTGTGCTGTAAGAGATATATCTTCCCACGCGCTATGGCACTTATATGTGAGGAAAATATCAGATTAGGGAAGTATGTAAGAGGTATGTTGTTATGTAGCTAAGATCTCAAAACACTATCGCATATTCAACATAAACATCAGGTTGCGGCGTTTGATGTTTATGTTTGCCGCGCCTCGCTCATCAAGTATGCGCTTCACTATAAGAAAAACTTGGAAATATGTAATTGCATAGTTACAATGCACGAAACCCGTAAATCATAAAAAAGAAAAAGACACCTAGCCACGTGACAACTTATTTTGCTCGAGCCCAAAACCGGTTTTTATCGGGAACCACCCACTAACTACTTCTACTACAGCGCGCAAAACCAACCCACAGGGAGCTACGCTCTACCTGGACGACGTCACAACCAATCCTCAGGCCTGGACCACACAAAACCAATCCTCGGGGAATCCATCTTAACCCGGACACTGCTACAACTCAACAGGGAGCCACTCTCTACCTGAACACATCCTGACACAACCAAGCTTCTCTCAGCCTGGACGCATGCGATTTTACAAGTAAAAAACAAAAGCAAAAATTTTGGGTACATTAACAGTAATACATTATCATACGGAAAGTTAGTCAAGATCGTTCGCTGCCCACTGCGGAGCTAAACACACTTACTAAACGAATACTCACCTCACATCCAACTTGCTGTTTGCACTCGCTGCTACCAGTAAGATCTGGGCCCAATAGATATTCACTTTACTAGTAGACGATACAAAGTGGTAATAATATGATTTACTAGACACAATACACGAAGGTACAGAGTAAACAGCAGAGGTTGGCGCAAGATGATCTGTAGGTGAGCGTGCCGCTCTGCAGCTGGGGGTTCCGAGATCTCTCCACTACAGTCTCATGTGTCTGTTTTATATCGGCTGGCAACCATTATCAGATCGTTCTCAGCTATGCTGATTGTAGAAATATGTCAACATCTGCATATGCCACCGTGGGATATCGTTCCCTTTTACAGTAGAACATGTCTGAAAGTGACTTGTGAATTTGCTTTTTTTCATTGCTTAGTATATCCTGCGCAGTTATTTTTCTCTGTTAAGTCGCGACAAAAGCTCGGCGTTTATTTTTTCGGAAAATGGCCTACATTTTTGACCTTCAAACCTTGATGGAAGCGAAAATAAAAATGCCAATAGAGTGATGTCCCTTTTAGTGGGAATTTTTTTGTCATATAGCCCTTAGATTTCGCTCGGAGCAAACATGAAGCTGATTCTTTAGGTGAATGCGTAGATATACTCATGACTTCGCAAATAGAGGTTTATAGATGAGCGCTGAAATTTGTTTTTATGGAGTGGAATTTATGCAAATCTCGTTTTTTTTTCGTTCGAATCTTTTGTGGAATATAGAGCGAGGAGGGGAATTGGACTCGAAAGCGCTTCAAAGTGCATCCTCATTGATTTTTCGGAAAGGCCTACAGTAATGGCCTCGTTTGAGGATTGCCTTAGCGCAAAATCTTTGCATAGGTATTGGGATTGTATTCACATTTCTTTGCGTGGATATTTTTATGGGGCAAATTTTATTGTTGGTCATTTTGCTTTTATTGTATTCTGCAAATCTTATTCTGGTTTTTCTAGCACTGGAAGGGGGAGGGGGTAAATTTTTTTCTATGGTCAGGTCTGACCCCATAATTTCTTCACAGTCTGATGATGACTGATATCACCAAACATGGGAGTTGCTGAAATGGCGGTACGAGAAATTTTTTTGGCAGGGGGGGGGGGGAAGGGGGCACGGCCTTTGAATAGTCTTTGAGACCCTTTTTCAAATTCTATAATTCCGAAAATTTGAATAAAAAGGAGTTTCCACTACTCTGATACTTTTTTACAAGACTAGTTTGAATTTTTGAAAGCTTCCACATACTGTTTGAATTAATTTCGATAAAAAAGTCACAGCACAATTTTATCACTCAAATTGACTCTCTCCAAAGACTTTGCAAGCTGACAGAAGCTGACATTTCTAGATTCTTCAATTTTTTTTGTGAGCGCCACCCAACGCCTCGACCACTTGTCAATAACTGTAGATGCCTTAGCGTAATTTCATCTTTGTTTTCTCATCTTCCTTTTGTTGTTTATCACATCATCATTTATCATCAACAAACACCCGAATGCATCCGAATTTTGTTATAGCAGAAATTTCATTAGGATTGCTGTTGAAACAGCTGCTTAGTGAGACGCCTTGTGCTCATTTATCTTCCGTTCAGGAAACTGATCCGTGTTAAGGTGGAGCGCAATGGCATTTTGCACATCGTTGCAATTGTCTATTCCCGTCTCCCGACCCCCCACTGCTCGCCATCCTCTTCCCCCCAGATTTTTCTAATCATCTGAACCATATGGGCATTTTGCTGCTGTTGCGAATGATTTGCTAAGCGTATTATCCTTCTATTTGTTCTAAAAACACACTGAAGACAGGAGAATTTGATTTTATCTGTGTTATAAATGTCACTTTGTCTATGGTCTGTACTTTGTGCTTGTTATTGGTTTATGAAAAAAGATTATTTTTGCTATTTTAGTTCCAAATCAGCGTTCGAGATCGGTTCACCGCAACGAAAGCCAAAAGCGAACGATTGGTTGCGAAAACACGATCAAGCAATGACCACTTTCAAGCCCTGCTATGATGAAGGTCAGTGCTTAAACTATTTTTTCTAATTATTTTCGTTCTTTTCACATGAAGTCTTGTATATCCTTTTTCCGTTTGACATTATGCTTTTGTAAGTTTTTTCTTTTCTTTACGGCTTCTTATCGGCCTTTATCAAAATTCTGTCGCATGTCGTTCTATGCAAATCATAGCAATTCAGTCCGGTTCTTTTTTTGCCTTTTCGGGAATGTCTGATTGTGAGAAAAGTTCCATTCATTTTGTCATAAGTTCCTATAATATTCTTTTCTCTTTGGCATTATACTTCTTTGAAGTCTTTCTTTTTCATGGCCTCTTCTTCGGAATCTATCTGAATTCGCTTGCACTTCTATGCAAAGCACGGGTTTCAGTCAAAGAAAATTAGAATGAATTATCATTGCCGCAAATCTTCAAAAACATTCTTGCTTCTTCAGTAGTTGTTTTTTTTTCAAAGTTTTCTCGTCTTTGCTGCTTTTTCGGCCTTTACTGTAATTCTTCCTAAATGAGATTTATGTAAATGTTGGAAATATGTTTTCTTTTTTCGTGAAGTCTTGTAATATCATTTTTCCTTGATAGTGCACCTTTTTCATGTTCATTTCCTTCATTATAACTATTTTCAGCCTTCAAAATCTTTTTGCATGTGATTCTATGCAAATTGCGGTAACACAGTCATACAGCACTTCTATCTTCTATGGCTTAACTTCCTGTAATATTTTTATTTGGCAGTATGCCCGAATTTTTTCTAATGGGTTTTATCAGCTTTTATCGAAAGTCTTTTGCATGTGATTCTAACGAATGGCCACATTTCAGTCCGATTCTTCTAAATCGCCAAAATATTATCTGGGAGCAATTTTGTTCTTTTTGGCAAAGCCCTATTATCCTTCTCTGCTTTCATCGTCTTTTCCAAGTTTTTCCTTTGTTATGGCCCCTTTTGCGGCCTTTATTGAAATTCTTTTGCATGCAATTCTATGCAAATCCATGACATTTCCAGTCTTGATGTCGGCTCGAGTCTGTCCACTCCCGATGCGTCGAGAACGAAGTGACCTTTGTGCATCGTCGGTCATGCGCCTAGCAAAGCACACCGAACGTAGTCCAGGTCCCACCTGTACGATGAGCACGGCGTTAAGAACCACTCAAGATCCACCGAAGCCGCGTCAACCACTTCGACCACCGGACACGGCACGAGATCCAATGCTTATCAATAATTGTATCGATGAATTGCGGAGAAGGAGGTGAGTGTATGACTTTTGTATTTTTTTTCTGATATTTTTGGTGTGCGTATTTTTGTGTGTTTCATGGGCTACGTCTCGATATCGATCGATTCGTAATGAATTCATAGCTTTTTTTGCTGGATGATGAATTACTTATCAGTCAGCAGACCTTGTTTATGTTCACATGTGACAAGTGAGATGGCATCACTTTCCTATCTTACAGTTTCGTACTCACTTCAAAGTACAGTTGCAATGCCTCCCATAAATAGAATTTGTGTTTTTTTTTGCCTTTCCAATTCTCCTCTCCTCTTCCCAGCCCTCATCAAGTTGTCCAAATTGCGCTTTGTGCACTTTCTGCAGCTGACGTGTCTAAATTTGGAAAAGCACATCTTTGGAAAATTCCGCTAATTTTTTACACTTATTATTCAAATAAGGTTGTAGTGTTGCTTACAAAGCAGAAAAATAATCAATATATTTTAGGGGGGGGGGGGGGAGATAGAGAGAAAAGTAAAAAAAAATCATTTGGAAGGGATCTCCTTTGACAACATTTTTTGTGGCTTATTGTTGGTGTGTCACGAATCTTACGTCTTTTTAATCGATCAATTTTCCTTCTGCTTTTTGCGCTCAGATCTTGGAAGTAGTGCTTTCCATTTCTCTGACCAATGCTTATCGAAAATGTGCAAATTTGTTGATAAAAATATACGAAAATTGTTTATGAAAAATGCAAGAATTAATGAAAAATATAAAATGTCCCATAGGTCTGAGCGAATATTATCACTGAGAATTCAATATTTTGACTTCTATCTGCTGATTCATTCACTTATTATAAACAACATAGCAGCTTTCTAGACAATTGAGCAGATAGCATCCTACTGTTCTTATTTAGATTGCAATCCACTACAGAAATGCTAGCTGGGAGCGATTCGCATAGTCCTTCATCTAGTCCACATGTATCGATGAGGTATGTACTTCTGTTTAGCTTTTGGTTTGCCAGATTAATTCCTTTAAAGAAATCACCACCTGGCGTCAAACCACCGAGATGATTTCGAAGCGAACGACTCAAAGAGCCGACACTCTCGACGTGATCATCGAATGTCCGTACCAAATCTTTCACCAGAACCATCAAGTGCCGTTGTACAATCGGCAAAAGCCCTCAGGGAAAAACTTGGCAGAAATGGAGACGGGGAACTGTCGGTGAGACTTTCGCGATCCGACGGAGAATCAATGGCTGATCTGAACTTTGTTCAGACAATAAATGAAGGATTGATAACACCCGTTATCCGTCGGAAACAATTCAATCAACCCACAGCATTGACTTGTAATGTGAATCGAGAAAATACGTCCGCACAAGGCTCAGGACATCCTATACATACCATAGGAAACCAAAAAGATGGGAATTCGATAGTCAGTCGTGGACGAGAAGCATTGGAGGCTCTATTCGTTCAACAGCAAAAAAATCCTCCACTTGGGACCGCAGGACTTGGGAGGAGGTTTGTGCAATTTCTGCTTTTCGTTGCATGTGGTTGGTTTTCTTGGCTCGTCTTCCTATAGAGCTTGTAAGGAGATGAGTTTCCAAGATTTTTGAATCATTTTCTCTCAAATTTTCGTATCGTTCATCTGTGGTTTTTCACGAAATTTCAGATTTTGCTCACTTATCTATGTCCATTGCTTTGGAAACTATACAGCTATAACCAGCATTTTTGCAAAATTCTCATCACCTGGAACAAACCCACATAAAAAAATCTCTTTTGTATTTTCCCTTTCTTTTCAACTCAGTAATAATCTTATAGTTTTCCCAATTTCACAATTCCTCTCTCACACACATCTCTTCGTCAAATCGCTATTCAGAGGATATTCATTCTCATCATTTCATCCCTTACGATTTACGAATTTTTTAAAACCTTATAAGGAGGGTCCCCTTTGCGTGTCTCCAGGATATTTTTGACCTTTTGTAAGAGGTTTCTGCACTGTTTACAAACTACGCGAAATTCCGATATGCTATTTCTGTCTTCGATTGCTTTTTATGGGCATGTGTCAACAATTCGAGGGGTCGTACCTGTCGTTCGTATGCATTCTCAGAGAATGGGAATTGTTGTGCACTTTGCAGGGCTTGCTTCTATGTTTGTGAGGGTTCCAATCCGTTTTGTTTCATTGTACATTTTAATACCATAATTTGTGGTAATGACTTTCTCGGTACCCGTAATTTTTGTGGGCAGATGAATTGGAAAAGATTAACCAAGCCATTCTTCGTACAGCAGCCTATATGATTAACCATGATCGAGAATCTGAACTCCAACCCGGACCGTACTTTCCTCAAGTGGAACAGTTTCGATTACGGGAAGAAGTACGGTCTGGGCTGGACTTTAAACTAAAGTTTTTCGACACAAATGAGTGTTATTAGCTTCCGAAAAAGCTGTGAAGAAAGGCTTAGGGCTGTTCTTACTTGAAAAAGTCGCTGAAATTCTTTTCGCTTCTGTAAACTTTATTGCTTTCGTTTGTTTGATGGCTATTGGAATGCTACGCCGGTCCAAGTGACGCTTGTCGCATTTGTCAAGCGCTCAAGTGCCACTAGATCCTGAACGAAATGCGATTGTTTGAAAAAACCGCTTCATCTCGTTCCTCCTCTCGTCGTTTGTTCAGCTGTTGTCCTGTTCATTTTTTTCTTAGCTTTGATGGGCTGTTGACCACCCAGGAGAAGCTGGGAGAGCTGGTAGCAGTTGTTCGAGTAGCTCAGCTTGCTTCCGTGCGACTCAAGCTATGGGAGTTGTAGTTTTGGTAGATAAAACATATTTAACTCTTTTTTGACGATTTTTTCAGAGAAAGCTGGTTTTTTTCCATGTAAAAATAGCTCCTCTAGGTCGGTGCATCTTTCAAAGAGCGATTGGCTTCTCCCAGATGGTCGCCTTTTTGACGAATTCGCAGAATCGCTTTTGAAAAAATATAGAAAATTTTCATGGCCTTAACATCATCGTATCAAATTTTTGCCTATCTTATTTCCACTTTCCCATTGATTTCTCAGACTTCTCTCAAAACCCATTTTGCAAAATTTTTGCATTTCGAAGTCTGTTGTTTAACATGGCCGGTTTCCGTGCTGAAATCTTGTTCTCGCGTCCGGAAATGAGCGATCTAGCCGCCACGTTTCCGAAGTGCCATTTTTTTGAGCTTTTGTTGAACATCCAGTCTTTGTCTAATTATCTTGTTGTACTCAAGATGATTTTGTTATCTTGCGTTTTTCATTCTCCCCTTCTCTCCGCCTGTCCTTCTGCCAATCGCTTGCAAAGTTGTAAAAAGATTTGCATAACTTTGCAAGTCATTTTTTGTATTAGGAACGTTTGGTTAAGCTAGTATATCGGAAAATCTTTTTCTTGCATTTATTCCATAATTTGCTCATTCCAAACTTCTTTCTGCTTCATATCGCCTTCCGCAAGTGAAATTTGCTTGGATTAGTCACTGCACAAGCATTTTCATGGGAGCGTCCGAATGATTTTTGCATGACTTGCTGTTTGTCCAGCGTTATCATAGGACGTCATATGCGTCTATGTCAATGGAAAGAAGAATTCTAGCTTCTATAGTTTCGTAGTTTTCCTTCTCTAGCAAGTCGCAGTTGGAATTATAACATTTTTTGAAAATCGCTCATTTCCGGTGGATCTAGGGTTCTCCTTGTCTTGGAACCAGCCAAAATCTTTTTATGAATGCTAATAAACACTGTGAGTTGAAGCTAGCTGTTACTAAACCAGCATTTTGTACTTCTGTTAGTACATAATTACCTTATGGAATGCTAAAAGTTTTTTTTAAATCGCAATTTTTTAAGGAGCGTGACGAGATATAGCATTTTTCCGGATTCAGTGGATTTGACTTCGGATTATAAAAAGTCTCTGGGTAGTATTTTGTTACCCTTGAAGTTCTAGACTTGGAAAAAGGATAGCGAATCTTTTGAGTAAATCATGGAAAAAAGATGCACTAGAAAGCATAACATCCTGTGATGCTCTGCAATTCGTAATTTATCTTTCAAAATCTTTTCCACTGAAATGTAACCTCGAGTCATTTGTAACTTATATGTGAGACTGCACACTAAGCCCTATCAGCGACGGCACCCTTACTGGTAATTTTCCAGTGAAACATTTTTTAGCCTAAAAAAGTGTAGATGTGTTCTGTTGACTAACATGTAATCAACAAAAATAATAAAAAAAAACAAGGAAATAAGCAGAAATCAGTGGAAACGAGCAGGTTCTAGTTTTGCTGTTCGTCAGTTAGCGTGCTTAATGTGCACTACGCATATTAAGTTACAAATGACTCGACGATAGAGTTGTTGGAAAATGTCATATCTTTTTCTGAGTTGATTATTGCTAAATAAATGTCTCTGAAAATTACAAACAGTTTGTAGCTGCTCGGTAAACAAACACATGCAAATTTGTTCGCAGAAAAAATTCTCAAATTTGTGTTTTTATCCTTGAGTAGTTGACTTTCTGGAGCGCCATCATGATATAATTTCATTCATCTTTTTTTTTTCGTTTCCTCTTTCACTCTTCGGACCTTCTATGGCACTTTTTGAATTTCCATTCATGCGCATCGTTTCCAACATGTATTTCTGGCAACATTCCACACCCATGCGCTGAATGCACAAGCAAAGTTTCCTTTCCGGAACGTTGAATGCTTGAGATTTGAATGGTTACGACTGTCGTGTGTACTCGACGTTTTTGATGGATGTACGATTCACGCTATCAAAGACGCTACGCTTTTGGCGAAATCGAGGAGCGGTGCCGATTTACGACCAAAGACTGTAGATGGCAGCAAGTGATAGGGGAGTCAGGCGTTGTCGGCAATGGCTTTGCCAAAGGAACGACGATGCGGATCAGTTTCGTTTGGAAATTGCCTTCGAACGGTCTTTGGGCCCTCAAAAATGCGTTCAATCTTAAAAAGCCATGCCTTGTTGATTGGTGCCATCTTGGTGCCAGCTTGGTGCAGTTGATGTGCCACTTCAATTCCATTCCAGTGCAATCTCGAAGAATAGTCTTGAACTAGGTTCCTTCAGAAATGCAAAATTTTGCATCGTACTTCATGCCTAACTAATTGCCAGCTCGGTGCCTTTGTCGTGCCATCTTCGTGCCACTGCGGTGTCATCCCCGTGCCGTCTCATAGTTGTGGTCAACTAAAACCAAAACCTCTTCAATCTTCATCTCGCAACAAATGTCGTATCTTTGCTAACGAGCACGTCAAACTATCATATCCTGCACCTCATCCTATGGGATGTGTAATGCATGTTCGGGCTCTCTCCTACATCTGGACGACTTTTACAACGCCTCAGCGTGATCCATCATCTTCACTTATTAGAGTAGTTATCCTCTGCTTTTTCTTCCTCTCGTGCAGTAGTCAGAGTTGCTGCCAGCTCCACCGCAGCTAATAATAGGCTCCACAATAGCAGGTGTGAAGCCAGGTGTTTCCCATAGCCAGTGATTGACGGGTAGTGAGATGCTAAGTAGGTACTAGTGCATTTATCGCTCTGGAGTAGTACTCAAGCCCTCGGCTTTACTTTTTCGTTTCCTTCGCTGGAGAAAGGTTTTGCGGTTTCTTGAGAGGTGCTAGAAGTTTTTTAATTTTTGGAGACAATGTCCAGTCAATTCCGGTACCTAGTTTCTCAAGTGGAACAGAACTGTGGGGCCTCAAGTAAGCCATTGCCCGAGCGCGAGCTCATAGGTATTTAAGCCGAGAAATTCGACTTGAGACTCTCGCTTAGACCGTATTTCCTATCGCGCTCTGAAGTGCTGGCCTTTGGTGTACCAAGGGATTTCCTAATGTTTTACTGAGAACACGTTACCTTTTATGTTGCTCTAGAAAACATAAAGAAATGGATTCGGATTAGTCTGTGGTGCTTACGATGCTTGATCATGAAATCTCGCTACATATTGTATGCACTTCAACTTGCAAAATTATTCGGCGAATAGGCTACCGTATACTTACCGTACGCATTCCAAATATGTTCGACAGAATGAATTCAAATGTTTTGCATCTTTTCAAGTGCTTGCTTATCTAATCTTTTTGATATTTCTGAAACTTTTCTTTGCGAATGGTGCTTGCTCATGGCAGTATAGAAGCTAATTTCAAATTTTTGCTTTCTCGGGTGTCTTTCGCTGTAATTTGTCTAACTCAGTGGTTGTGAATAGATCCAATTTAGAATTTGATTTGGCTTGAAGTTGAAGATCTTGATCCAAAGCAGTTCCGACTTCGATAATTAATAATTTTGAAGATGTCAAGTTTACTACAGGATTAAGATTTTTTTCTTTCTACATATCCATCAGACCACTTTCTTCCTCAAGTCTGTGTTGTTTTCAGCCACTTCTTTATTGTTTGCATTTTCGCTCAACTTATGCTTACGGCTTTTTATCCAACCCGCCGGTGCACCACTCTCCATTGTATACACCCCAACCTGTTGTGTGTTGGTTTACCCAAGCAAAGCTCGCAAATTATCTATTTGCTCTCATGCTCTTTTGCA